TATAATATAATAATATATTATCGTGAGAATTTTTTTCCTCAATTTCAACGCTTTATTGAGTCAGTTTAGCATTACTTTTTTTTGGGTATTGAATATTATAGAGTGATAATGTATTACCAATATGGAGGATTTTTATGAAATTGATTTTATTAAACCTTCCTACATATTTTTAATAAGAATTCAACAGACAAGATTGTATAATTTTAAATCTTAAATATTAAAAAATTAACATAAAAGTTATTGTAGTCTAAAAAAAGTTATTATAGCTATGTACTTTCCCTATGAGTTCTTCTTTTTAATATTTTAGGGCTATTTTGATATATCAATATTATATTCGTGCTTTTATAATAACACAGGCTCTCCTGTTTTTAAATGGATTTGGAGAATATAATATGTTTTCAAATTAAATTAGGAATAGAAATTTTTAAGAAGTATATCCTAAAAATAATAGGATTACAAGGCTAATATCTATTGCCCAAAAATAATTATACTAATAGGATTCCTAAAGGAAATTAAGTAGGATTCTTTACGTGTAGTATTATGTTCTAAAACTAATAGGATTGCTAGACTAATGTCTAGAATTCCGTTTATATTCTTTTATTGTGAGTTATTATACTTAATATTAAAAGGTCATTTTTGTAATGCAACATTTTATTCATGATTTTATAATATATATATATATATATANACATAAAAATTACAATCGAAACATATTTGAGTAAATATTATTTCACATTGAGCTGTACAGAACATTTTTTTTTAATGAATCACACTTTAAGATCTAACAATGATGACAGCTTTAGGTAGTAGTAATCTGAGGTGATGGTTCTAGCTAGCAAAGGTAAGTTGATGTTTTTTAATTTTATTTTTAAAAGAACACTTATTTTGAACTATTTTTAAAAGGCTAATTGTATACGTAGAGTGGACCAGAGAGAGTATCTTAGAGTGCACAATTATATATGTTGTCAATATTCAAAGCGGCACGTAAAGTGGACCAGAGGAAGTATCTTAGAGTGCACAATTATATATGTTATCAATTTACAAAGCGCATAATTATATTTGTAATCCATCAAGAACCGTGCTTGAACTTGAATTATTTTGTTTTACCAGGTTCTTTGGTAGTTAGATTATCAATTAACTACTGCAAAAATAATTAAGGAGCACATGGTAGTTCATCTGTCGAACAGTACATTTGGAATAATGCTAATGGAATCTAGGGAAATAGCTACATATAGGTACTTTTAACCTTATTATTTGAGCAAATAAATGCTAAACTAATTAGTAACAAATTAATAGGGTGAATCTCAGTTGAACTTAATAATCTCTAGATCAAATGGAATGAGATTTTGATATGGTGAGAACATCATAGGGGTGTTAAGTAATATGTGCAATACGGTTTGGTTGGCAAAATATATAATATCATAGAGTGCAATAAATGCAAGAAATGACAAGAGTTATAGTATAAATGGATGTCACTCAATGATTGTGTGATTGAGCACCTCCTCTTTCCGATGATTCGAAAAGGTGTATAGCGGATACGAATGCGGATTCTTCAGATATATGGACAAAGGTTAAACAACATGTGCTTGAGTAAAATCAATAAGAGAATTATTTCGTATATTTCTCCCTTCTTACAATGTGTTTTTTTTTTCTTTAAAAATGGCCACCCCTTCTTATTTGCTAACCCTTCCTATTTATAAAGGACATTTTCCAAAAAAATCCTAAAAAGTACAATATAGAGAATATTCAAAAGGCATATTCTTCCTATCTCTTTGTAAATTAAAACTACCGTTACTATCTTATTTCGACTGACCACTCTTGGTCGTCGTCCTTTGTCACAACGACCATCAGTCGTTGTATTGTGGTGACCTCGTTCCATGTCTTGCTTATTTGTTGTCGTTGCCAAATTTGGACCCATACAGTTAGTCCCTCCGCTTGTTGAGGTCGTGGCCTTGCACGTCCTTGCTAAGCGGGCATCGTCTGTTTTCGTTAGAGAATTTGGCTGTGAAATTACGCCGGTTTGGCCAAGGCCGAGAGAGCGACGCGTTGCACGGAACCCTGGCTGGTGTAGTTTATCGAGATGTGACATGACTCCCACGGGCGTCATCATTACGCTCCTTCTTGAGACAACATCTGATTGCTTGTCGCTTTGGTTTAGTGCCATTGGCAGCCTTCCGCTTCGATTCTTGCGCCACCCAACCCTATAAATAGGTGAAGGTTTTGTTTTTTCAAGAACTTTTAGCCATTTCCTTTCTTGTGTATGCATTGTCTCCTTTGGTCATTTTTTTTGGTTCTTTAGCTCAGTTTTCGTGATTTTGCTTCTCCTCTTTTCCGTTCAAGCATCGTTCCTCATTTTATGTTTTACCAACATACCTTTTATTACCAAGATGCCCAGAATGCACCGAACACACGAAGTAGTTTCCGACGTCACTCCGTTATTCATGGCCCCTCCTTCCGGTGGTGAGGATATGGCAGTTGAGGAGGGCGATAGTTTACCCACTGTAGAGGAGATACTCTCAAGAAACCCTCTGTCCAGGAATGATTTCCACAAGGAACCTTCCCCTTCCCCCGTTCCGGTGGTCTCTGAAACTGAGTTGGCTCACATAAATGAACTCCGATTTACGTACAATATTCATCCTCATGTCAAGATGGTTTCGACTGGGAGGGACCTCGTGGAGGTCCATACACCGGGATATTGTGCTTTCTACGTGTATCCTTTTGTGATCGGTCACACCCTCCCTCTTCTTCCACTGGCGGAGGAATTCTGTCGGTTCTACGAAGTCTTCCCAGCACATCTATCTCTATATACATATAAAATATTTCCAGTGCTGACGAAGTATGAGGAGTTGGCTGGGTGTGAAGTTAGCCTTCATCACCTTTTACATTTATTTTCCTCGAGTTTTCATAGGGGCACCATGATACACCTGCGACATCATGGGACCAGAGGGTTGGTGGTCGGAACGGACGACAGGGCGAGCTGCAAATTTTGGCACAAATACATCGTCATCAAAACTGAGCACCTAGTGTCGGACCCCGCAGGATTTCCAGAACAGTGGAATCATAACCGTAGGTGTTGGTACTTGTTGTTTACTTTCATTCTTTCTAATTTGTATTTACTTATGACTTTTTTGTACAGCTGAGAGATGTGCACCTTTTCCTGTCGTTGGTATCGAGGACTGGGTAGCTCGCATACTACCTTATGTGGTGGGGACTCGAGATTGGCCCGCTTTCCTCAAATGCTTTGGGCCGAAAGTTCCATCTGGTAAGTGTTCATTTTGATTTGGCCTTTGACTGTTTGCTGTCGTTTGTTGATACGACCTCTTCGTAGTGATAGGTCGTAGGGCTTCCAAGAAGAAGGCCCCAATCGCGGCATTTCACCAGGCCGTCGCATCAGCGAAGATGCAATTTTCCTTAGCTGAGTCCGTCCGAGGGGATCGTGCTCAGACTCTGCCGGCAAGAGACTCTTTTCATGATGTCATTGTACGAGATGAGATCTCCTCTCGACCCGTCTACCACTTCATGGATGAGCCCTCCAACGGGGTGAATCTCAGTTGAACTTAGTAATCTCTAGATCAAATGAAACGAGATTTTGATATGGTGAGAACAACATAGGGGTGTTAAGTAATATGTGCAATACAGTGTGGTTGGCAAAATATATAATATCTTAAAAGTGCAATAAATGCAAGAATTGACAAGAGTTATAATATAAAGGGGTTGTCACCCAATGATTGTGTGATTGAGCACCTCCTCTTTCTGATGATGCGAAAAGGTGTATAGCAGATACGAATGCGGAATCTTCAGATATATGGACAAAGGTTAAACAACATGTGCTTGAGTAAAATCAATAAGACAATTCTTTCGTATATTTCTCCCTTCTTACAATGTGTTCTTTTTCTTTAAAAATGGTCGCCCCTTCTTATTTACTAACCCTTCCTATTTATAAGGGACATTTTCCCAAAAAATCCTAAAAAGTACAATATAGAGAATATCCAAAAGGCATATTCTTCCTATCTCTTTCTAAATTAAAACTACCGTTACTATCTTATTTCGACTGACCGCTCTTGGTCGTCGTCCTTTGTCACGACTACCATCAGTCGTTGTGTTGTGGTGACCTCGTTTCATGTCTTGCTTATCTGCTGTCGTGGTTGCCAAATTTGGACCCATACACTTATAAGGCAGATGACTTATTAAACAAACATCTCTTATCATCCACTTGCCTGTTAAGCATAGCCGGAGCAGAGGCGGGTCCAAATTTTAAGCTTATAGGTTCCTATAATAATCTCAAGTTAATCCACATTATAACTGGACCAACGAACTGGGTTCCAAGATAAATATTCTTATATTTTTAATGAATTTTTTAGTATAAATACAGAGTCTATGCAAAAATTACTGGGTTCACGAGAACCCGTACCATTTGCTCTATATTCGCCTTGAGCCGGATCCAGGATTTGAAGTCTACTTTGTATAATAGCATTCGCCACATGATTTTGCTCTTTCCCTTTGGTCACAGTACAAACTTCTCTAGAAAGAATATACGATATATGCATGGTTCCAGAGAATATGCCTCAAGACCATTTTCGTCCTTTCACTTGCTAATAGCATGGATCTTTTATTGCTTTTTGTTTCTTTGTTTGAATAATTCCAGAGAATAGTCCTGCACAAACAAACCGACCATTGTTTGGCTTCTTTTTCTTTTTCTTTGTTTCTTTTTGTCTTCATAGAGCGAAATGAAACATGCCTTTCTTTCTCGAAATTGTGTGCGCGCGTGCGCTGACTTAAAAAAATGGGGATATAAAATCCCATTGTCATACAGCTTTGAACAAGTACCCTAGTTCCCTTATATGTCGTTTTCAAGGAGAAAATTAGACAACAAAATTGTAAAGTTTAAATAGGTTTATGAGTTCTTAATAACTACTCCCTTCAGTTCACAATAAGTGTCCAATTTGCTTTTAGCACGCTTATTAAGAAAAAATATTAAATCCTATACAAAAATACCTAGTATGGTATTGTATGTTGTTGGAGGAAGTCCAACAATAGGAGCCATGGAAAGGTATATTGCTTCAGTATGGAACTTTGTGGCTAAACCTAAGGTTTATTTTCATAATGATAGTTTTTTTGTAGTTCGTTTCAATTCGATTGAGGATAGGGATGTAGTTCTGTATTTATGGCCTCACATGCTGAATAATAAGCCTATCATTGTCAAAATGTGGTCGGCTGATTTTGATTTCAATAAAGAGGTTCTCCAAACTATACCAATATCGGTGAAATATCCCAATTTGCCTTTGAATTGCTGGGGAAAGAGGTCACTTAGTAGGATCAGCAGTGGATTGGGAATACCTCTCTATGCGGATGCTTGTACTACTCAAGTAGATAGGATCTCATATGCAAGGGTGTTGGTTGAAATGGATGTGACTAAGGAGCTTCCTAGATCTATTAAAGTGACTGATCCTAATGGAAAAGAGTTTATGCAGGAAATAACATATGATTGGGTACCTGACTTTTGTACTAAATGTAGAACAGAGTGGTCCAAAGGTGAAGGCTAAGAATGTAAAATAGAAGCAGGAATGGCAACCTAAGGTGGCATCCAAAGTGCAGGAACCAGTTAAGGAGCAATTGCAGTCGAAGGAGACTACAAATGAAAAGAATGCTAGTACTAGTATATCAATGGCTAGTACTAGTGCAGGAGGTGAAAGAGGAAATGAGGAGCAAAGGTGGCAGACTATTATAGGAAAATCAGCAGCTAGAAGTAGAGAAAGACAACCAGCTGATGTAGTAAATGTCATCAATGGATTTAATCTACTTGCAGAGTCAAAACTACAACTAGCTATGCCAAGACAAATAGAGGGAGGAACAGGTAGACATCAAGGTGATACTGGGCAGGAAGGTACACTACAACCCTTTTTATACCTGTATGAAGTTAGGGACTTGGAACATAAGGGGATTAAATAAACTCCCTAAACAAAAAAAGGTAAAGTGGTTCATTTGTAGTAACAAAGTAAGCATGATAGCATCTAGAACATAAAATAAAAAATGAGAAGGCTGAACAAGTTATAAGGAAAATTAAACCTGGATGGGCATATTTAGACAATTATGAGTATAGTAGCAAAGGAAAAATATGGTTGTTATGGGACACAAATGAAATAGAGTGCAAAGAGGTGAGTAGCACTGCTCAGACTATCCACACTATAATATATACTAGGAGATTGGATATGAGATTTACATTTACAGCTGTATATGGATTGCATAGTATTGAAGACAGAAGAAGTATGTGGAGTGAACTAACTAGGTTGAACTCAATACAACAAGGGCCATGGTTGATAATGGGGGATTACAATGCTACTAGATCAGCTGAAGATAGACCAATTGATAATCCTGTGCAAGAACTGGAGGTAAGAAACTTCAATGATTTTATTGAAGATACTGAATTGACAGAAATGAAGACTAGTGGAAGGAACTTTACATGGACAAATGGCCATACTTATAGCAAAATTGATAGAGCCTTGATCAATATTGATTGGATGCTGGTAATGCCACAACTAGAGGTTTGGATTATGGATCCTCACTGTTCTGATCATTTACCATTGAGTATAGCACTGGAGGAGAATGAAGATTTTAGCTCCAAGCCTTTTAAATTTCTAAATGACCTAGCAGAGCATGATGATTTTATAAAGATAGTTAATGAAGCATGGGAGAGGCCATAGGAACAACACAATTTGAGGTGTATTTGGCAGAAACTAAAAAGAGTAAAGCAAGCTATGAAGAGTTTAAACAAAAATGAATACAATGCTGTTGGTACTAGGATCAAGGTATGTAGACAAAAACTGACTGTTATGCAAGAGCAAATGAGAGATCCTGGGCAAGATGAAACCTTAGTAGCTGAAGAGAAAGAAATGAAAAAATAACTGGTGAAATGGCTAAGAGTGGAGGAAAGCATTATGAGACAGAAATCAAGAATAAAATGGCTGAAGCTAGGTGATGCCAACACAGCATACTTCTTTGCAAATATGGAAAACAGATGCAGCCAAAACAAGATTATAAGGCTAATAAAAGCTAATGAGAGCATAGTGCAAACAAGGGAGGACATTGAGGAGGAGGTGACAGGGTTTTATCAACAGCTATTAAGCTCATCAGCAAGTGAGTTGCCTACTATTAATCCAGCTATTGTGAGAGATGGTCTCATGATAAATAGACAACAACAACTTCAACTGATTGCAGAGATCACAAAGGAGGAGATTCATCAGGTTCTGAAAGGTATCAATGATAACAAAGCCCCAGGGTGTGATGGATTTAATGCTTTATTTTTCAAAAAGGATTGGCCTGTAGTAGGAGATACAATCACATATGTAGTCATGGAATGTTTTGCAAGCTCAAATATGTATCAGCTTATTAACTGTACAACTGTAACCCTTGTTACTAAGGTGAAAAGTCCTTCTAAAATTATTGAATACAAGCCAATATCATGTTGCACAATTCTTTACAAGATTATATCATACAAGGAGTGATGAATGGACTAGTGGATAAGATCCAGTCTGCATTTGTTCCTGGTAGACTGATAAGTGACAATATAATACTTAGTCATGAGTTAGTGAAAGGTTATGGCAGGAAAGGTATTTCTCCCAGATGCATGTTGAAGATAGACATGAAGAAGGCATATGATTCAGTGGAGTGGATTTATCTAGAGCAAGTGTTGACACACCTGCAGCTGCCAGGGAGATTTGTACAATGGATTATGAGATGTGTTACAATAGTATCCTACTCCATTATGATTAATGGGCAGCCTACAAAGCCATTTTATGCTAAAAAGGGATTGAGACAGGGAGATCCCCTATCTCCCTACCTATTTGTACTGGTTATGGAGTATTTGACAAGATTGTTGAAGACTCTTAAAAAGGATCCTAACTTTAACTATCATCCTAAATGTGGCAAACTAAACATAGTGCAGTTGAGCTTTGCTGATGACCTATTACTATTCTGTAGAGGTGATGCCATATCTGTTCAGCTACTATTTCAGTGCTTTCAACAATTCTCAAAGGCATCAGGGCTAGAGGCAAATGCTGATAAAAGTTCCATATTCTTTGTTGGAGTGCATGATGATCAGCAACAGAGGATATTACAAGACTTGGGGTTTGTCAAGGAAAATCTACCAGTTAGGTACTTGGGGGTACATCTAAGCTCTAAGAGGTTATCATTGATACAGTGACAGCCTCTACTTGAGAAGATGCTAGGGAGAATCCAATCCTGCACATCAAAATTCCTGTCTTATGTAGGGAGAATTCAACTAATCAAGAGTGTGTTATTCTCTATTCAAGTATACTGGTCTCAGGTGTTTGTGTTACCAAAGAAACTTATTCAACTCATTGAAAGAGTATGCAGAACATTCCTTTGGACTGGGGGGGGGGAGAGGAGTAGAAGTATCAAGGAAAATATTAGTATCATGGGATAACTTATGCAAACCTAAAGCAGTTGGTGGTCTTAATCTGCTAGCTATAGAAGAATGGAATAAGGCAGCCATATGTAAACCCCTTTAGAACCTGTGCAAGAAGAAGGACAGGTTATGGGTGCAATGGATACATGTGTATTATAAGAAGCAGAATACATTGTGGGATACTGCACCAAAACAAGCCTCTTGGATAGTGCAGAAGATACTTAAAGCCAAACAATACTTTGAGGAAGCTGGCTATATAGAAGAGGATGTAGAGGAGATGAAAAACTTTTCTATCAAGAATATGTATGGAAAACTGATGGGTGAATTTGATAGAGTGCCATGGAGGAAAATGGTGCACGACAGTGTTGGAGTACCAAAATGGAACTTCATAATCTACCTAGCTGCACATAGAAGATTAATGACAAAAGACAGGTTGAAGGGTCTGGGCTATGTGGAGGATGTAACATGTTCTTTATGTAACAGTGAGGAGGAAACAGTTGATCATCTGTTTTTCAAAAGTACCTATGCATCAAGAATATGGACAACAATGCTGCAATGGAAAGGAATTCAGAGACAACCAATGATGCGGGCAAATGAGCTTGAATAAGCAGGGAAATACTACAGAGGGGGGAGCGCAACAGCTAAGCTATATAAACTTGTGTTGGTAGGAACACTGTATTACATATGGCAAGAGAGGAATGACAGGATTTTCAAAAGAGTTCAACGATGAGAAGTCACTCTAAGCAGAGCAATTACGCAGGATGTGCATGGGAGAGGAGAAAGTAAACACAGGATACAAAGAAGATTACAGGAACTCAACTACTATCCTAATATGTAAGGTTCATTTATAGGTAGTAGTTAGATTAATATGTTCTTGTAATTGTAGTTGATGAAGGCAGAAGTGGAGCTAAAATCTGGGATGTATGTCCAGATTAAGCTCGAGTATAGTATGTACATATTTGTTGAGAAATGAAAATTTTAATTACAAAAAAAATGTGCTTAAGATATGAAATATATGAGATTGAGAAAAAGAACAAAAGGCAAAGAGAAGCTTTTTACGAAATGTTCAAGACTAAAGAGAAATGGAAAGACAAGTTGGATAATAACACTTTCTTCAAATTGACTAGAAATACATTAATTCTGGATAAATCAATCTATTGCTCGTCCGAAGTCAACAGTTCATTGGATGATACGTCCACGGTTTGCAAGGAGATATATATATGTGGATGTCAATGCAACAAGTGTATAATATGAGTAGTTGCTTTTGTTGTAACAGATGGGAGATGCCGTACAACTTGACAAGAAACCATTTCAAGTTACTTCTAAACCAATATAAACTGTTTTAAACCACAATTGCACCATAATTGTTCATTTGTTTGGCTGCTACTTCACGTACATTAATTAGGCAGTCTTTTATGACCTCATTTTCAAGTTGTTAGGAGTAAGGCCTAAATCCTAATCTATGAGATTTGGCTGCAATTTATGGGAAACATTTTCCTTCTTGTGAAAGGTGGTTATCCGTAAAACGGTACAGTTAAATTTGTTATGTGATTTATAGAGCGAACTAATTTGATTCAAAAAAGATAAATAAATTAGATTAAAAATAAGACTTAGCAGTTAAAATCGAAAGAAACAATGAGCTTGACTCCGGGGACAGAAATGAGAATAATATAAAGAGCAAGTAAATTTATTTGATTTAGCTTGAGAATGGAATGTAGCATAGGTTTTGCCAAGGGTCTCGTGTCTTACAATGGCTGTTAGTCTACTATTTATAACTATACCTAGGGAAACAAGATCGTAGGATCAAGCCCTTCTTAAATGACAAATGCAAATATTTTCTGCAACGGTTGCCTATTTAATGCCAGGGAATATTCTTCGTTGAATGTTATCGATGACAAACATTTGATTTTGTTCACGTGATCATGCTCCCTTTGGGGTCAGCCAATGTCACTTGCAGCTATTGTTCCCGATACTGATTATTATATACTCCTTCCGTTCCAGTTTAAGTAAATCTATTTCTTTTTTGGTCCGTTCTAAAAAGAATGATCCCTTTCTAAATTTGGAAACAATTTAGCTTAGTCTTTCAATTCTACCCTTAATGAAAAGCTTTTATAACCACTCAAATACTCTGGGCCCCTTTTGACTTATTTAGGACCACAAATTCCAAAAGTATTCATTTTTTCTTAAACTTCGTGCTTAGTCAAACAGGTTTACATAAATTGAAACAAATACTTTCTATCTGTCTTCGATTCTATGTGTCATGTTTCCATTCGATCATTTAATATAAACCAATTTTACCTGTACAAAAGGTACTTAATTATTTTTTCTCTCTTTTTATTGCCCTACTTCCAATAAGTGAGAGAATTATGCGCGAGCCATAATTGGAAAATCTTCAAGTTCCACATGTTATTTGTAATTATGAACAACCTCAAGTTAAATATTACTCAAGTTTTCATTTTTATGGTTTATTTATCGTGCGTGATGATTAATTTGACAATTGACATAAGAAGAATAAGGTTGACGTGAAGATTGTGTGATGCTCTTACCATGTGGAGTTCATGCAGACGAGATGATAGAGCTGCATTTTTATATTGTGTGGCACAAATTTTGTGCCTAATTATCTCTTTGATTCTTGATTTGGAAAGTTTGGAGAAGATGCTCTTTGCTAGGTTTTGGTTCTATTTGATACTATTGTGGTCCTTCTGAATAGTGAAGAGCCGGAGACATGAATTTAGAGTCCATTATTTAAACGGTCGCTCAACTATTTGAAGTTATCAAGTAAAGTCATATTTCTTTTGTTTGTAACAAAAAATCACTTGACTATTCATATAACATTCAGAAGGTCACTAACTAGAATTTCTCAAAATTTCGGTGGCCAAATACATATTTCACTCTCTAAATATCACCATTGACAGTGTAGAAAATCTAGTTGAGTGATCTTCTGAGTGCTATAGAAATAGTTAAATGAATTTTCTGTTATAAACAAAAGAAACATGACTTTTACTATATAATTTTAAGGCGAAATGACTTCCTGGCCACTTAAACTTGTACCGGATTTTAAAGCCGATATACAAACTTACATTGTTCCCATTTGAACACTCAAACTCATGTATCCGGTAATTAATAAACTTATTTGACCGTTGACCATGCATATGTGGCAGTGACAGAGATGATGTGGACAAAGTGTGTGCAAGTCACGAAAATTACGCGCGTGACTGCAATAGTTTTGATTTAAAAAATCTAAAACCAGAAAAAAAAAAAAATCAGACCCACTTC